CTCCCATCTGTTATCCTCTAACCTTCACATGTATGCTGTGTACATGCATGTGTGTACATATGTGTACATGTATGTGTGCACATATGTGTACACACACACATACTACATGGATGGATGGATGGATGGATGGATGGATGGATGGATGGATGGATGGATGGATGGGCGGGCAGGCGGGCGGATGGGCAGACAGACAGACAGACAGATGTAAAATTGAAAGAAGCTGATTTTTAAATATCAAGGGAAATTATCATTTTCATTTTTACTTTATTTAACTGTCACAGAAAATTCGTAGGTAAACAAAAATGCACCGCGAAACATCTCTTTCCTGCTGCGTATAGCCAAACTTTATTAACATTGAGCTGCCTAATTTAACAAATGCACATTTTAGAAAAAGCTATCTGTCCTATCCTGGCAAACAACCATCAAAGTTGTGACGCCTAGGAGACCTTCTCCACTGAGGAAGTTGTGCTGCAGCAGCTGACGAGCAAGCTGACGAGCACTCAGATGAAGCAGCACAATTAAGGGCAGCTCACCCATTCTACAGCATGCGCACAAATAGTCACAGAAAATAGACGACACCATTTGCCTTCTTGCCTTCATAAAACTGGAAAATTGTAGATCCACATCCTCATTGCCATATGACAATTCCTTAAAAAGGCACAACACCCAGAAGAGGAAAAAGCAGATCTTTTACTCACTGACAACAAACACTTCTGGTAGAAGAAATCGTGTTGTGTACAGAAATATAAAATATTGCTATAAAATAAATAGCGAAATTATAGGTAACTATGTAAAGAAAAGTAAGTTATCAGATAACCCATTTCTGATGCTATAGTAAATTTATGATGCTTAGCCAGCCAAAAGAGCAATCATTAACAATTATATCCTAAATAGCAGCTACAGAGTTATCAATATTAAACCATCAGTAAAAATCGGGAGATGATACCTTACAGAAACAGCTGAGAAAAAAATGTTAGTTTTACCTTACTATCCACAAACATGCAATTCTTTTATCATAAATACTGTCAAGACAGAAGAAAAACAGACACAATATTTTGAATATTCCAGAGCTATTTTCCCAAGCTTCGAACTACTTCAGATTTGTCAACCCCGAAGACAGCAAGGTTACCCACGATCAGCTGTGATTATTTTGACTATAATTTCTAGTATTTTATGGCATAATAAGCTTCTACAAGAACTGATCCTCCCACATACAATATGAATTAGCACACAATAGAATAACTCATCATGCAATAAACAAAAACTTCCCAATATCGACTTGTATCAATAAAGTCAACATTTCACACTGTCATCATTCAAAGTGAACCAAAATAAAACCTCTAAAATAAAAGCTTCATATTCCCACTTATGGGTGAAAGTTGAAATTAGCTCACATCAATAACAAAGGAAGCCTGACACTCACCTAGTCTTTGTGAGCTTGAAGAACAGAACCACTAGACTGCATAACTGACTACCATCCCTTGGTAGTCTTTGTGAGCTTGAAGAACAGAACCACTAGACTGCATAACTGACTACCATCCCTTGGTAAGTTACTAGAGCTTGTCAAGGAAAGGGTAATTTCTGAACTAATGTAAGTGGCCTATGAGGTCTCTTCTGTCTAAGGCTATTCAGATTCGCTGCATTATATAAACCTGAGTAATTTGTAACTTCAAGGAATGTGTTAAATTCAGGTAATTAGGGCATCATTTGCATTCAAATGTTGTCATAAAATTTCTAAGCAGTCTTCCAACTGCCCAGGGAAGTTATGGTTACTTAACAGACTCTTAGAGAGTCACTGTATGCCCAGTTGATCTGGATGCTTTGAAATGCTGCTCGTGCAGTGTTTTCAGTGTGCTTGGGGGCTTAGTCCTATAAGCTCAATAACACGAAATGCCATTTGCCAGTGAAGTAAATGAACAATTAAGCCTCCTCAGTCTTAGGAATTACAATGATTCTTCTGTGACGCTAGGACAAGACCATAGGATCATGAATTTAGCCAGCTAACCCTCCTTGCTGAATGATGCTTACTAAGCCTGCGGAACCAAGTCCCGACTCCTCAGAAAGTCAAGAACTTGCTGCAGCCGCCAGAAGCAGCCCTCTTTTCACACTGGTCTCCACGACTTCATCTGCAGTTAACAAAGACAAGTCCTGACTTCCACGTGTCTCTGCATCTGCTGTCCCTTCTGCTAGACATGCCCGATCCCTCTCTGTCATCTGGCCAATTCTTTAATTCATTCTCAGAATAGACAGCACCTCCCCCGAGAGCCCACTGACTGCTTGAGGGGTTAAGTGCTGGGCTTTCTGCTTCCACAGCCCTCTGTGATCACCTCAAGACTGAAGGACAAAGGGTAATTGTTCACCCACTCATTCATTCTCCCAGTTGTCTGTAAACCCCTTAAAGGCTAGAACTGTGTCTTTTATCTCTAAATCCCTGTGGCCTTGATTTATTTTAACATGCTAACTAGCAAGTGCTCAAGTGAATAAAATCCTTTTAATGAGTCAATAAATGAATTGCACACACACACACACACACACACACATACACGTGCCTTGTGAGCTCACAGGAAAAAAATTCATTCAGATATTATTTATGAAATACAAAGTGAGTTGCTAAAAAATAGCAGAGCTATATAAAACCAGCACAGTTCCAGGTGAAATTACAGCTCTCTAGAAATCAGAAATGCCTAACGGACAAGAAAACCCGTGAGTTTCCTTACTGGAGGAAATGTTGGGTATACAGCAATGAGTGGGTCTTGGCAATCCTGTCAGCTCTAAGTGGTGTCCTTCAGTTTAAGGACCCTGGTCAAGTACGCTGAGTTCCCAGCTGATGCGATACACTGTTTGCACCTTTAGATACCAAGGACAATTTGTCATAGTTATAAACAACATTACTTCCACTTCTGACTTCAATTAATAATCTATGCATTGGTACTTAACCTAAATTCTACTAAGTCATTTTCATCACACCAAACAATAGTCAGTTCTCTCAATTGTGAAGTTTACTTCAGCAGGGCCTAAGGTATCTTCTGCCCTGAGTGGAGAGGCCTAGATGAGTCAAAACATCTCAGAAGTGATATTCTAGAAACACTGAGACAGAAAAAAATAATAGCCTGTGTTTCAAAATTAGGGGTCTTTCACCAGCATGAAGAAGGGGTAGGCACTGGGGCCATGATCACATGATGCAGAGTCTGGTTTCCAGAGTCTGCTCCTCCTGCAGCTCTGAGTCCTCCTTCCTTCCCTTCCCCTCTAAGACTCGGGACCTGTCTTAATGCACTGCCTACATCAGCAAATTCCTGGCCATGGGAAACTCTATATAGAATGAAAGACCTCATGTCTTAATAAATAAATCACAAGAAAAATTAAAAACAACAAATAAAGGCACGAGCAGAAGAAACCATCCACTACACGAGACTTAACTAAGTATGTACTTCATTTCAGGTCTGGCTCAAAGTGAGAAAAAAATGTGCACATAAACTGTACACATATAAGCATATTTTTTGAAACAAATGAAAATTTTTCTGAAAGAATGGTTGCTTTATAGTATTAATTAATCTCATTTTTAACATGACAATTCAGGGTTACACTTATTTTAAAATAACCCTTTGCTTTCAGAGTTTCACTACTGAAAATTTTAATAGATAATATATCATCTGCATCACAGTGATTCAGAAAGGGGAAGAAGAAAAGGAGACAGACAAAACCAAGGTAGACTGTAGGTTACCAACCACTGAAGCTAGAGTTCATCATAATCCTCTGTCTAGTTTGGGTGTACCTGGATTTTTCTTTTTAAATAAAAGGCTACAAACATCAGAATATTCCTTCACAGGAATAATATTTATTAACCGAAAAATAAAACAGATTCCCTGCAGTTTTTCCATGGAAACAAGTCAAAATAAAAAAAGACATAGGCAATTGTCAAACATTAGTTCGGATGATATTATCCTTCATTAAGGGCTGGGCACATAAGGTTCTCTACTACAATAATCTAACTTCAATGGATACTACAAGTAACCCTGAATTTCTTCCCAGGTCAAAATGTTAATGAAGCCAATTATTTGGCTGCAAATTTAGACAAATATTTCTCAGTCCTTCCGTATCTCACATTCGAATAACTTAGTACATTAATACATTCCAACTATGATAGTGTCAAGGGTATTTTCGATGTGAAAATGTCCAGCGTATCTTCAGTAAAGTGTGCAACCATTTTCAACGACATGAGTTTCAGATGTACTTACAGACCAACAAACCATCAGTTTGACGCATACAAACAGAAAAACACTTACATGATCCCAAAAATATTGGCTGGAATTAGCCAGTAACTTCAAAATGATTTTCCATCATATCTATAGATGTTTGGCACTGATTTAAATGCAAGTATATTAGCTTGATCAACGCAATAAATTAGTTCTTTTTTAACAAATTATAGTGCTCAATAAATATAGCCCTAATTACAAATGGTGAAAAAGGTAGGCAGGACCGGTTTACAGAAAGCAGGAGTAGATGGGCATACCTCTGGTGTTCACACATCTAAGTGAGCAGGGGATTTTGCAGTGTAGTTTATTTTATTTTGGTTTCTTAGGGATGCCTAGCTTCCTTCTCTTCCCTTCTTTCTACTTATCTTGTGTCATAAAAGCCTTCTCTCAGAGTTAAAACAACGAAGATGGTGATGCAATCCTACCCAAACAGCATGCCCTACCGGTGCCGGTTTTGCTTGACTAAGGAGATAGGGTCTCCGCCTCTCGCCCCCTCGCCCAGGTTACTGAACTACTAGGAGCATCCACCGCCACCCCCTCAACCCCACCCCACCCCTTCTGCAAAACCCTGGGCTCTTGTCCTTTTTCGTCTCTTTTTCTCCTCCTTCCTGCACCAGGAGCATCATGCATGAGTCGCATTAGGACTGGGCTCTTTTCACCCTGCACACCGCGTCTCCACGGCAACCCTAAGCAAACGTGGGGCCATGGGCTGCGCCACGGGGACCACCTCCCTCACCCGCCGCTCACCTGCTGGCCACCAAGGTCGCCCCGCACCCGTGTGTTGAGCCGGTCGTGCCAAGTTTCGTCCTCGCCGCCCAGGCGGTAGATGAGACGCAGTGGCACGATGCTCTGGCGCTCCAGGAAGCGGTTTTCGTCCGCCCTCTCCAGCTCCCTCAGTGAGGCGTCTCCTTGCAGGCAGGCAGGAGGGCAAGAGGAAGTGGAGAGAAACGGCAAAAAAATATTTTAATTAAAATAAAATAATTACCCTGACCCAGAGTCCTTTACCCTGTAGTCCTACATCTCCCCTACGAAAATGCCCCCGCCTCCTCCCTCCCGGACCCCATCTGGGAAGGACGCAGAGACACCAGCTGGGAAGCTCTGGACCAGCGCATCAGAGAGCATCCCCGGGCCCAGAAAAAGGGCATCCCTTTTCCACTCTCCCCATTCTCCTCTTCTTCAAGTGAAAAAAAAGGGGGGGTGCATTTGACCCCCAGATTGCTGATGCATCCTCGAGCCCCCACACACACGTTTCAAAAAAAAAAAAAAAGAAAAGAAAAACCCCGCGCACTGTGCACTGTGCAAACGCGGATGCGGCTTTCTTAGGGCCCTGGAAGCCCGGGCAGCAGGGAACTTACCTGCCGGACCGCAGCGCACCAGAGGGCAGGTCCCCACGACGCAGAGCAGCCAGAAGGACGCGGCGGCCGCTGCTTGCATGGTGGCGGCGCTCAGCTGCTCGTGCCCCGACCGAGGGCTCCGGCTCCCCGCCGCCCCTTCCCGGCCCGCGCCGCTGCCGCTGCCGCAGCCGCCGCTGCCTCAGTGCTGCATTGTGCCTCGCGGGCGCTCCAGTAGCAGGGGCAGCGATCGAGCGCCGCATCGGGCGCCAGGCTGTAGCTAAGTGGCTCCTAGCGCCTCCCACTTCATCCCCAGGCGGAGGCCGGGGAGGGCGGCCAGCTCGGCGGGGAGCGGAGCTGGGTGCGCAGCGGGCCTGGTGCACTTGCCCCCCCACCCCCACCCCGCGCCGCACCCGGCGCGCACCGGAGTAGCTGGGAAATGTAGTTCCCTCCCCGCATCTCGCTGGTCTCCACAGCGACGCGACCGTCGCCACCGGGAGACTGCAGACCCCGGGAAGGAAAAGCGCAAAGGAGGCGTGAGGGACACCACCTGCAAGGTTGCATGCAGCAGGGCGGGAATTCGCCCCGTGGCGTCCACAAAGAGTCACGTCGTGGCTCACGAGTTAGTAGTGCTTGTGTTACCAAGCGACCGTGCCCTGGGTGCATGCCAAGTCAATCATTCCGCAGATAACAGATCCTACTATGTGTCGGGTGGTTGCAGAGGTAAAGGACGCGAGTGTGAGTCGCCGGCTTAATTGAGATGCGATTAAGAAAGGCCGTTTTGGTAAGAATTTGAGCGGGGTGGGGCGGGCGGGGATGAATGTTTTTTATTTGTATGGGTATTTTGCAGTGCAGGTGTGTCTGCGCACCATGTGTGTGCAGTACTGTTGGCAGCCAGAAGAGAGAGTTCCTGGGACTGGAATCCAACCCATGTCCTCTGGAGGAGCAGTCAGTATTTTAACACTGAGTCATGTCTCCATACACAAGCCATTTTTTAAAATTTTTTTATTTTATTTTATTTTATTTTGGGTACCCGGAGGAAAGTCATTATTAACCTAACTCCAGGAGAATCGGAAGACACGTCCCAGAGGTCTAGCGGGCATGTGAAGTGTGCTTGAGCCCGATTCTCGGTGGTCCGTGTGCTTCCTCTATTATCTGCCAGCATCAAACCTGTACAGGCAACAGATAAGGGAACTGGGCTTTCTCGGGCTGCCCTACCCCAACCCAATGCAAATGTGAGAGACTCAATGGAGATAAAAAGTAGTAATAACATCACTGTTAACATAATTAGCACTTGCCCTTTACAGATTTTGAGTTTCAAAATTTTGAACAGGAGAAAGGAGAAAATTAAGGATTAGATCAAATAGGCTTCTTCCCAGGGTTGGTTCAATACATATAAATCAATGAATGTAACCCATCCTATAAACAAACTGAAAGACATAAAAACACATGACCACCTCATGAGATGCAGAAAATCCATGGTAAGATTAGTGACACAAGGGACATACCTAAACATAAGAAAGGCAGTTTGCGGCAAACCTATAGCCAACATCAAATTAAATGGAGAGAAATTCAAAGCAGTTCCACTAAATCAGGAACAAGACAAGGCTGTCCACTCTGTCCATACTTGAATTCTTAGCTAGAGCAATAGACATCTGAAGGAGATCAAGGAGATAAAAATTGGAAAGGAAGAAGTCAAATATCTTTATTTATACATGATATAATAGTATGCATAAATGACCCTAAAATTCCACCAGGGAGCTCCTACAGCTGATAAACACAGCAAAGTAGCTGGATACAAAATTAACCCACAGAAATCGGTAGCCTTATCATATAGAAACGTTAAACAGGATGAGAAAGAATTCAGGGAAACAAACCCTTTCACAATAGCCTGAAATAATAGAGAATATTTTGGGGTAACTCTAACCAAGAAAGCAAAAGAAAGACTTGAATGATAAAAACATTAAGTCGTCAGAGAAAGAAATGGATATCAGAAGTTGGAAAGATCTCCCCATGCTCGTTGATTAGTAGGATTAACTTAGTAAAAATGGCCATCCTACCAAAAGTAATCTACAGATTCAATCCCCTCAAAATTCCAACACAGTTCTTCACAGATCTTAAAATCTTCAGCTTCATATGGAAACAAAGGATAGGATAGCAAAACTGTGCAACCAAACAGCTACTGGAGATAGCACCATCCTGATCTCAAACTGTACTACAGAGCTATAGTAATAAAAACAGCATGGTTTGGGCACAAAAAAAGACAGGTTAATGAATAAAATAAAATTGAAGGCCCACATATAAATGTACAAACCAATGAGCACCTGATTTTTTTTTCTTTTTACTAAGAAGTAAGAAATACACACTGGAAAAAATGCAGCATCTCCAACAAATGGTGTTGGTCAAATTGGATGGCATATTTTTTGGGAACTACATGTCATGAAGCATATTGGAATTTCAAAAAATGTTCAAGTCCTCAAATCAGTGAGCTGTTTAAGAATCTTATGTGGCATGCAGTTGTCTTGAACAAGATTTCGAGAGTCCATTAGGCCTTAACAAACATTATTCTGTTTATTGAGAATTAGAGCCTGAGGCATAAAAATGTGTTTGTGTTCTCCTCCACACCATAGCCCCATTCCTGATCTGGTTCTCTCAGCTGAAAGGAGTTGTGTAAGCTTTATAATTATTGCATTGCTCTAAGTAGAGTATTTACTTTTCATTTTTTAAAGATGTTTAGAATATGTTAAATAATTTCAAAAATCCTAACATATCAGTTTGATGTAACAAATACTGAAATACCTAGTTTAAGGTTCATCTTAGCTTGTGTTGCTCCAGCAAGCATAGCATAGACTGGGTAGGTTAAGTAACAAACCTTTAAGGAACTGAGATGTAACTATCCTGGGCTTTGTAGTTAGCACTACAAAGCAAAACACAAGAACAGTGAGACATTTCTCACACTGTCAGAAAGCTAGGAAGGCACTGCAGGATGTCACGCCAGGTAAGGACTACTTTCTGGACAGCAGCCACCTCGTCCTTGTCCTTAGGGACACAAATAGAGCATTCCTGTTCTCACCACACCTCTTGCTCTCTCTTATGATGCAGACATTAATCCAATTGTGGAGGTTTCACCCTCATGGTCTAATTACTTCTGAAGGCCCCATCTGCAAATACCATCAGAGATGGGCTTCAGTACAGAGATTTTGGAGTGATACAATCAACCATTAGTAGAGGTTAAAAATATCTTACTCATCAAACTTGTAAGTCTGGGATCCTAAATACTTGACATGTATGAGAAAACACTAATAAATGACAAGTTATGCTTTCACTAATACATATATATATAAATATATAAACACAATTTTTAAATGTGTGTGTGTGTGTGTATCATGGGCACATGTACATGTATACACACAAGCATGTGAAAGTCTGACTTTGAACTACTGCTCTTCCTACCTCCCCTGCGTGCTGGGGTTATAGGTCATTGCACCCTGTCTCTTCACATATGTTTGAATGGAGACATCTCTAAGAGGAAAAATGAAGTTTTTGTAGTTTAAATTTTTTATACTCTCTTGAGTATAGGTGTTTAGAGATGACCACTTGGGATGGGACAGTCCACAATACTTCTCATACCTGGAGAAGATGAGCTCCTCCTCTTGTGTTGCCTCTAGCTCCTCATCAAGGGGAAACTCAATGAACTCAACAAATGGCACTCACAGATACATGTGTGTAGGAAAAAATAATAGTTAAGGAAGAAAACATCATGAATTGAGGGGGACACACAGGAGGAACTGGGATGGGGAGAGTTGGTTAGAAATGTTATAAATATAGTGCTCACATACAAAATTCTCAAAAAATATTTAAGGTAAAATGACAGTTTATAAACTTTTGTCTTATTTGAAATATGAATGAATATTATAAGAAAAGAGAAATGCATAAATATTTGTTTGTATAAAAAAATCTAAAATGAAACAACTTCTGTGACTTCCAAGAAAGAAAAATACTAAAGTGTGTTTGTATCAGAGAATGTTTATTTTCTGTTGGGCTAAGAACAAGCAGCAACAATTTATTATACCAAGACAGTAAGAAGATCATCTACTTAATCAAATAGATTTTTATTGTATTAATTAACTATATTGTTTTATATATATATATATATACATAGTCAAAATATGCAGAATTTCTCAAGATGCCTTTCAGAAGAGCCAGGAAGGGTTCTCCAAATCTTTCTGAATGAGGGTGCTTCTAGGGTTATTTGCCTATTTCATATGTTATTTTCTTATTTTGTTTACTTTTATTTTGATGCGTTGATGTAGTTATCTAATTATTCTTTATCAATAAAAAATTGAGATCAGGGAAATGATAGAGAAACTTACAGTGACCTCCTGTCTCTTTGGTTCCTACATCCAAAAGAGCTGAGATCCTTTCTCAGCCCACCTTACTACTTCCTGTCTTATCTGTGCTCAGTCCTCCAAAACCTCTGTGGTTAATTTTGGTCACCTGGTGACTAGCTCTGCCCTCTGACTCAAAGCCATGTCAGTATGTGTACCGTGTATATGTCTGGTGTCCACAGAGGTTAGAAGAGGGCTTTGGAACATTTGGAACTGGAGTTTTAGGCCATCGTGGATGGCATGGAGGATGCTGGGAAACAAACCTGGGTCCTCCGCAAAAGCAGTAACTGCTGAGCCAGCTCTCCGGCTCCTCTTTTATGTAACTGAATTGAACCAGAAATCACTAACACAAAGATAACGGGACCCATACCCACCAAAATAGGTAAACAATACATTCTCATTAACAATAAATATATTTTTAAAAAATATAAGCAACAGAAAAAAATAAAGCAGTAATCTATGAGACTGAAAACAGGAATCAACAGAGACAAAACCCGAAACTGGCTCTTTAAGAAGGCCAATGATTAGCATGGAGTTAAGGTAACCAATAAGAAGAGGAGACACAAATAATAATGGTAGAAATGAAGAGGACCAAAGACTGTTGATGGCATAGACATTAAAAAAGATTATAAAGGAATACTGTAGACAAGGTCAAAGGTGCTGTCTTCGTTAGGGTTTTATGCTGTGAAGAGACACCATGACCACAGCAACTCTTATAAAGAAAAATTTCACTGGGACTGACAGCACAGTTTAGTCCATTATCTTCATGGCAGGAAGCATGGCAGCATGCCGGCAGATATAGTACTAGAGAAGGAGCTGAGAGCTCTGCGTTTGGGTCCTCAGGCAGCAGGAGGAGAATGTCATACAAGACCAGGCTTAAGCAAAGCCCACCCCCTAGTGACGCACTTCCTCCAACAAAGCCACACCTCCTAGTACTGCTGCTCCCTAAGAGACTAAAGGGGCCATCTTCATTCAAACCAAGCGACACTGAGTCAA